TGAACTTTTTTTACCGCGACATTGACCAATATACACGGCAAACTGTTTAAACGTTGTTAAGGCGTCAGCAAACTTAATTTCTTTAATAAATGTTACGAACTTGTTCAGTCGGAACTATTTCTTGTTTGTTTGTCTGTCAGTCTGTCGGCTACAAATCTTATAATCGAAATTTAACACACTTCTACTTATTCTATCGATCTGAAATTTTGCACACTTGCGTAAAGTTGGAGACAATGCATGAATCAAATGACAAAATAAATAATTTTGAAGATAAATTTTTCAATATCGAAAAAATAATTTTGTCATCTACAAATCTTATAACTGATATTCGACACACTTTTACCTGTCCAATTGATCTGAAAATTTGCACACTTGTGTGAAGTCGGAGGCAATGCATAAATCAATTGACAGAATAAATAATTTTGAAACAAAATTTTATAGATTACAAAAATGAAAAGTTAATTTTGTTAATATACGAATATAAAATAAAAAATTCATTGAACATCTGAAACATTGGAGACACTGGATTCTTTATAAGTGTTGGCTTTAAAAAGAAAAATTTTAAACGTATATTATTAACACTGAGCCTGACTGAGGCAGTAGGCATGCTGCAATGCTGCATGCCTAATTGACGTGAATGAAGCAACAAATATTGCATTGTGAAAATGGCAATGTTTTGAAGGTGCAGTTCATTGCCCTACGAAGGGAATTGTCTTCTTGCACCTGGATAGTCTGGACTTGATGTCAATTCAACAACTCAATTGTTATGCAATATATTACATTCACGGTTGTTCTTGCATATGCATTGTCTGCTAAATTGTTAAATTTTGCAGACACAGAGTGTTAAGACTTATAATAATGATAATAATAGCGGTTTCAGCGTTTAGTAGGCCGTAGGCCTGTTGCCGATTCTGAACATCGCAGAACATTCACAGTTTGTTGCGTTCTCGAACTCGCAACTCACTGCTACAATTCTGCTGTGCTAACCGCCCGGCCTCCTCGCGGATTCTGACCAGAAACTGGCGCACAGAGCTGGGATTGAACCCGCGCCTCTCTGCGCCAATCATTCATGGTACTCTGAACTGTAACCACTGGGCCACCCTGCCCTTTAACAAGACTACAGTCAGCCAGTACTAAAAAGAAAAACACCACAGCCTCGATCACAAAACGCCTTTCTAGTTTTGCACCTTCGGCAGTAAATATAGCGGATTCAGCATTTAGTAGGCCGTAGGCCTGTCGCCATCGCAGAACATTCACAGCATTTTACGGTCTTGATCTCAGTGCTACAAGTCTGCTGTGCTTATTGCTTAAACGCCCGGCCTTCTTGCCGATTCTGACCCAGAAACTGACGCACAAAGCTGGGATCGAACCCGCGCCTCCCTGCACTAATCTTGGTACTCTGAAATTTAACCACTGGTCCACCCTGCGCACTGTTCGTCTCGACGCCACTATAGTGTATATATGACTGTATGGCCTCTATAGTGGGCGTATATGGTCAACCTCATTAGTTGAAACGGATAAATTGGACTTTAAGAAACAGTGTAAATAAGTTTTTATTTGCCACATATTGAACATGGGATGACTGGCGGAGACACCACTGCAGTGTTTCGAATGGACTATCATGAAATGATTCAGGATCCCTTCCCTCAAGAACGTAGCCTATAACAATTCTGCTGATGTAAAAAAAGTACATATAAAAATTAACTGTTACATTATCAGCCGCAAGCCATCAGACAGATCACAATTATTGAAGTAGATCAATCAGCCCACAGGAAGGTAGCCCGATGTAGTATGACCCAGCACCTTCCGACAAAAGGTGAAAAAAATTTTGCCATTGGTACTGAGCACGCTGGAGCTTTGTACTGAATAAAATGCCCGCCTCCAACCCGTCCGTAGTACGATTGTTAGATGGAGGCTTGGAGCCAAGAGAAAAGGCAAATTTAGCTCACAACAAAGGCGAAAAACGGTTCCATTTAAAATTAATAAGAAAGTTTTAAATTTAAGGTTGTTATAACCATATATGCAGTGCACGCATTTTCTCTTAAGGCCTTAAGACAGCAAAAATTGCATCAATTTCACTAAGTGTATGATCTGAATTAATGTCAATGCCTTAAGCCGCCAGCCTGCAGTGAATTGCCCGTTGCTTGCCGATCGTTAATAAAACCGTATAATACTGGTCTGGCAGGTACTTTCAAACATTGCTAAGTGGACGTAACTTCTTCAACTTAAGCTCAAGAAGCTGCCTTGGACGAGTCTCCAGAGCTCCCTCAGCTCCAAAAGAAGAAGAAGAAGAAGCTCAAGAAGGGAGTTCTGTTCTAACCGTTGAGGCAGGAGGTTGTTTGTGCTGAGCTCCCGTGACAGTAGTCGGCTTCGGCCGGCTGCTACGTCATCTTTCTGGAACTATCCTCCTCAAACTGCAACCCTTCAGCCATTGAGAAATCTCGAATTTTTTTCAAGACACCCAATATTGTACCTTAATACAAAATTCAGTCAAATTCCTTGAACTGTTCTGACGTGGGGCCGCATTGAACAAGTCTTCAGAGGCTCCCATAAATTCCAACTAAAGAAAAGAAGCTCAAGAAGATAGGTCTAGTGTACGATCAGCGACTTTTGACACCTTCAAAACTTTTGTGCGACCGACTGAAGTCTGAACTACGACTGTCACCTTACGACTACCGTACCTATAATTTTTTTTTTTCGATCGCGCTAGAGTTTTGACTCAGTTTTGCTGCAAACAAAATTGATAGTTTCGTATGAAAGTCGGCAACCTAAATGATGTGGCGAAGTTAATAGCATTGAAAGTAGAATATTTATAAGCAGAAGATGAAAATAAATTTAAACAGGTTTCTGCGGTAGAAAGATGGTGTTGCCCTTGCAAGACTAAGGTAAATACCAGAAGTCGATCCTATAAATTTATCAAAACTTTTTAATTCCTAGAAAAATAATATATTGGATATCATAAATTAGAGTGGAGTAATTATTACAGTATATATGGTGGGGCAGAGGAACTTGCTTATTCGAATCAGCCTTCCCGAAATGTGATTGCTACGATAACTTTAAGGAGTGGCTTAATCAAGAGCGCAAACTGTAAAGTTTTGTTGATATGATGAGCAGCATTAATTTATTTTCCTTTTTCTTTGCAGTAGTCATGGAATGGACGAACGTGGAACGTGCTTTTGTGGTTGAGGCATATTTTCCCTGTGCTAAATCAATCATCGCCACACAGCGTGCATTTCGTCGGCACTTCCATGTTGCCCCTCGTAGCCGTGTTCCAGGACGACAGTCAATCTTTTCGTGGGTGAAGAACTTCAGGGAATCTGGAGATGTGAAGAAACATGGTGTTAAAGTGTATCAGCCTTCGAGAATCGAGGCAGTGAAATACGACCAGGGAGACGCACATGTATTTCAGTAGGAGGCCGACACAAGAAGAGCCCGCCTTAGGTGCCGCGACCCCTTAATACAACTACGAGTCGCGGTCACGTCAACGCGCATCAAAACGTTAGGCTTATACCTTGTTACATAAAGGGCTACAATATCTTCGCAGAATATCGAAGCGGCGCGCGGCCATCCATCTTGAGGTCTCCCCGACGATCTGTTCGCAAGCATGCATCAGCTCTTGGGTTATAATCAGCTCGTTCTGTTTGACGGATATCATTCATGAGGTATTAAAGTTTCATTCCCAACCCCATGGTTGAATTAATTCAACCATGCCCAACCCAACCACCTGAGCCATCTCAAGAATAACACTCGTGAAGCCGTCGCCAACATTCTTATTGAGATGCTGGAAAGACTCGACACCAATTTCCGGACACGACTGAAACAATGTATTTACAATAACAGACGTCAATTGCATGATATCATCTATAACTCTCAAATTGTAAATTTATCTGTTCTTGATTATTCAATCACGAAATTTATTTGTATATATGCAACAATTTTGTTATAACAAATGTTTCATATAAGCAAGTTTTCTTTGCCCCACCCGGTATTTATTCAAAGTGTAGTGCTCCCACATAGAAGGCTGAATGTATGGCGAAACAGCGCTGTAACCTCGGATATGAGTAATGAATTTACTAATCTTTAGAAGTGAGAACTATACTCGATTATACGCGTTGTGGTCAGCTCTGCCATCCATCGTTATTGATACGAGTCGGCAACTGGATATACAAGTCCTATGGTTCAACCAAAGTGTTGCAAGGATTACGTGGCATCGCCAGTGTTGCCACTTAAACCGAAGCGTTTACACAGTTATGTGTCGAAATGTAACTGTACTCATCTTGGATAAAAATAAATTATAAGTGAATGACAAAATTATTACAATAAAGTCAAAAGTTACATTTTTCATATAAAGGCCCCCAAACGGACAAAACGGCCAAATAAATTTTGTCTGGCCAATTCATTTAAAAAGGCCGTATTTGGGAAATTTAGCAGGAAAACGGCCCATCTAGCACTGACGACTGCGTGAAGTGACGAGGGTATCCAAATTTTGCAGAATTCCTTCTTTGTTATTTCCTCATCAGCACACGTACACCTGCAGCCACAGCCGGCGTAAGAATCAGAAAATACAATCAGTAGATCAAGACACCCGGGATTGCCAGTGCAGTGTAACAATCCGTTGCATTGTTACATTGCACTCCTTTACGATTTCCGCTTCGCGACTACTGTTGCACGTCTAAAATTTTTTTGGTTCAGAGGTGAATAAATTTTCCAAAGCATGACCATTGGCATCAGGTCCCAAGTGTGAGATGATAGCATGAATGAGACATTGCACCGTTATGCTCAATTCGAACTGTACAAAATGTTTTTCAATTTGTTTAGAATGAGTTTCAACCAAAATTGTTTGCAATTTGCTTATATTTTAAGTGGAATTAGGCAAAACAATTCCAACAACACTTTATTTATATTCAAGTACAAAAATGATGTTTAGTTTGATTGCTTATATATATATATACTGTTATTACTAACCCATAAATTTATTTTAAGATAGATGTAAACAAATATAAAAATTTAAAAAAGCAAAAAAATACTTCATAATGAAACGCAAATTAATGATCCGGCACACACGTTTGAAAACAGTGAATGGTGTTACCTTGGAAGCTTCAAGTTCGCTTTGCTAAAAATCCCGTAATATCGTATGTATTCGATTAAAGTCTTTTCTTCTGTGAGCTAATAAATCATTAGCGTATTCGTTTTGGCAGTCAAACTGTAGCAAGAGATGTATATGAATGTTTTCAGAACTGTCCAAGATTCATCCAGTGCGTCTGAAAATGAGTGAAAAATTAAATTAGAAATTTTCCTTCAATATTCAGTGGATAAGAGGTTGAAAAGAAGCAAAACCAAACAATATAATTTTAGAAATGCATTTCATAGTATCCTTGCAACCAACAGCTATTTCAAGCAATTCGCTTCAAGTCAAATTATTGGCGTTTTCCATGTTAAAATTTTGTATTAACATCGGGCCAAGGACCAACCTGTGGTGTGTATGGTGGAATGCCAGGAGCGTTCGTAAGAAAATGCATTTGATTTTCGAAAGGTTCAAGTCGCAACTTTGGGTTGGCAAACTGGCGCTGCGTAGACTGTGGGAAATATTGTTGAGGTTCAAACTGCGATAAGCTTGTTGGGAATAACAACGAATTTTGTTTCTCGGATGTCCAGAAGTTCTGCGCACGTGGTACTGCCAACGGCTGGCGTTGAGGGACGCCAAAATATGGTTGTTGGAGATATGAAGCCTCGTTGAAAGCCTTCTGTTGAACGTTTAGCATTACATCTGCATCATTTGTGTTCAGTTGTCTCAGAACGTTTCCTTGCTGTGACATTTGCGGTGGTCGATTGTTCGGATACACAACTGTTGGCAATGGGATATCCTTTGTTCCAAAGATTAGTTGTGAATTCGGATTATTTGGGTTCATGAAGCTATTCTGACTACCATGGCGCACGTAGAGTGGATTGCTGATGGAACAGCCAGCTGGCCACGAAACAGGGTAAGAAGCGGACGCATAGTTACTTATCTCGTCATCGATCTCTGCATTAACAACGTCAAAGTCAGCATTAGAGCCATAATGAGAGCCTGTAGGTAGGCTGGTGCTGCTTCTTTTCAGGCTCGGCGATACTTCCCTCGTAAAATTTCTTTTCTGATCCACGACGTTTGGTTGCAACTTCGAGCTGAAATTTTTGAACGCCGAAAATTCAGACGTGTTGCTTCCAGACGCATCTTCATCTGGCTGGTTTTCAGGGTTATTGCAAATAAAATTATCTTCATTCAAAGGGATTGTACCTCCCGCTATTATATCCGTCGATTTATTTGTTATTTGTCTCGGGTCTGGAAGTGCAGGTGAGGCCTTGAGATTCTTTGCCTGCTTGGGTAGATGAAATTTTTCTTTTTGTGAAGTTTTGCCGATGCAATCCTGCCAGTTGAGAACCAAGTTTCCTGAGCTCACGTGCGATGATGGCAACTCAGGCGTTTCGTTCACGAATGGTTTGTTTCTTCTGTATAACTGAATGAGATTTTTCTGTTCATCTTTTTTTTCTTGGACGTATTTCTCTAAGTCATCTGACTGTTCGTTGATCATCTTACTGTTGGTCGAAAGAACTGCATTACGACCTGCTGCATCAGACTTGCAGTATATCGGTGGATTCGCGGACAATCTTATCTTGGGTGCAACTGATGCCACAATCTTACGATTCTCTTCCCGTTTCGGCTTATCTGGTAGCTTTATAGGTAGGAAGATATCGGGAGATTCGTTTTTAGATCCCTGAATAGGCCATTGTTGTCGGAGCTGGTCTAACAGAGCAGTTAGTCGTGGCTCTTTTTTAGGGTTATCTTCGGAACACGACGTTTGTTGCGGATACTTCTCAGCTTCTGACAGGGTGGCGAGTTTTGCTTCAGTAACTTGAGGATCATCCTTCCTTGCAATGGTCACTAAACCATTCGTCTCTTTTTGAGGAATGGATGTGAATCCAGCCAAATAACGGAAAAAAGATTGCGTGCCTTCGTTCGCTTCTGTGATTCCATGGCTCTTCGCCGTTTTCAATGCTTGCAGTTTACTGGACAATGATTTTTGTGTGCTAGCTTCTCCTTGAAGACCCAAATTAGCGTTATTTTCGTTGATAGGATTGGGACGGATAAAATTTGCTTCTGCGGTAGATTTGCAATGGTTTGCCTCTCTACGACTCTCGGAATCAGACTCATTACCAGCCTTGAGCATGGGATTAAAATAATCTAAAATGCTACCACGAATGTTCCCAAGGGCATTGTCTGACTTCTGCTCATTATCTTTAATGGCACTACCCTCATCTTCCTGCTTCGAATTCTGCTTATGTTCACTTTCGCGGGAATGAATTTTATCGGCAGCGCTGTCATTGTTACAAGTAGGTGTTTCTATCTCAACGCAGTCGTCCCATGACACATCGAGAGCGAGGGCATCATTCTTGAGCGTCGTTTTATCTGACTTTCCAGCTGATGTCGTTTGGCCAGTTAAAATTGGATCCATACCTAGGTCTAATGCAGGATTTTTTAGAATACTAATGGCCGAGTCGACTTCATTAGGACCATCAATCTCTATAATTTCTTTGTTCTTATCAAGTTCTACCGGTTGACGATTAGGTTTATGTGCAACATTTTTACCAGCATCTGAACGCATTAGTTTTGGTTTAGTGTTGATGAAGCCGAACTGTGCGAATGCCGGAGTCTTTGGTACATTTTCTGTAGAAGAGCTTGCCTCCAGCTGCTCGGCAGAGAAAAATGTTATGATTCATGGCAGCTCCGTTATTGGAATGTAGAAAGCATAAGAGATTTATCTATTAGCATAGGAGGCTATATGGGTGAAAAAATAAATGTAAATTTCACGTGACACACAAAAAGTTTCTTAATTAATAGTCAACAGTGTTCCTGGAAATTCTTATCCATCATCGAAGAGTTATTGGAGTTATTGGAGTTTCGATTATCATCGAAAGCCAGCGATTGAAAACTAATTCAATACAAACACAATTAAAAATGTCTATGGAATGGAATAAATAATTGACTGGGAAACATAGTAAGATTATTAGCCACATGAGAGCAGTAACCTTGTATCGCTTGGCAGGGAGGTTCTGCGTGCGCGCCTCTCCCATGCGCTTGCTGTTAGACACGACGGCGTTGACGGTGCTGCCGAATGCCTTCTGCTGCGGCTGCCGGACGCCCACCTGATCGGCAGGATAAGCATTGAGGCCGACCACAGAGTTATAGGCTCGTGTAGATTTGTACTTGAGTATGCAGGGGCATCACTAGGCCTATTGTAGGAGAACTTCAGTCCCTAAAATATTCTTATGACCCATAATAATTTAAATTAAGATTATAAATAAAAACACACGCCCCCGACTCTTAGAACCTAGTGACGCTCATGGGAGAATGATGTCTAAAGAGTTGAGGCTTAGTGACCACTGTCATGATGATGATAAATGTAACTAGGTTGAAGTACAAAACAGAATAACAAATGCAAATTTGTTACATAGAACTTCCATCGCCTGTATTTGTTTGGAACAACCTTACTAATTCATGGAAGCAATACACAAAGTGTTGGTTGTTGAAGAGGTTGCTGCAAGACGCTCATCACCTTGCAGCAGTTGTGAGCGCAGAGCAGCTTGTTGGCGCACTGGTGCAGGCACGACCGTCGTGACGCGGTACTTGCAGGGCCTGATGACTTCAGGTGGTCCCGGCATGCAGCTTCTTGTGGTGGCTGCGTTAAGGCTGGCACTTCTTTGGTCAAGCCGTTTGAAAAAATGGGGTTAAGTTAAGGAACATTTGTAATTTCAGTATTATTATGAAGTTTACGTAGTAAGTTTTAGCAATAACTAAACTGCCCATAAATTCTGGTGGTTGAGAGCTCTCACCTTGTTCAGTGGGTTGAGGGTTCGGCCATCGCGGACCGCTGTATCGTGGAGTGAAGTTGATCTGGATGTCCAAGCCAGCTACACGGGATAAAGAATAAGAAGCTTAATAAATTAAAATTGCAATTAAACATCTTTCCGGAAAAGAATCTGTAATAGATAATATCCAGGTGAATAACTTTTGCTGAAATACAAAACAAAATAGACTGCTGAGCTGATCTGAGCATTTCTTTATCACACACCTGCATAATGCTTACGATTCTGCGCGTGAGTAGCGCAGTTGATAAGACACAATATACTGTATAAGCTTTGAAAGACACAAAAGTACTACAAGGCGCTCGCAAGCACACAAATCCAATAATAATTCTGTTATTGCTCTAGTCACGTGGCCATGAGGGGATCACGCAAAGACTGGAATGTGCCAGCCTGTATTCACTAGCCAAGATTTGTAGTCAATTAGGAAATAGTTAATTTAATTAGAATTAATAACGAAACAAATTCTGAACGAAGAATCTCGTTAGGAATGTCGGTGCATTAAACTTAATTAACATAAGGAACAAGAGTGCGGCAGCGTACCCCATGTCTCTGAGACGAAGTTGAAGGCCAGCTCGTCTGCTTCAGCAGGTCGCTTCACCACCACACATCGCTTCACTTCGCCCGCTTGTATCAAGCTGGCGTCGCTGTAAACAAAATCATTTAGAGACCACACGACTCATGCTACTTAAAATAACTCCGACATTATAAACCTATCATTTATGTGATTAAAAGAAGACATCCCCCCAAAAAAATTTCATACAGGATTTCGTTGAAGATTTTTGTTGTGCAAATAAACCCGAAGCAAAATTAACAGATTAATCGCAATTAATTTATCTCCATAAATAGAAAAACGCGCTGGGCCAAGCAATGGAATATACATTCAAAACTTCAATTAAAGCTCGGAAGAATAGCATGGAAAAAATTTTCCGTTTTCAAATGCAAGTACCTGGAGTATATTTTTCTAAGCCCATTTCTATTTCGTGGGATGTGACTTACGTAATTCGTTGAGAAAAGACGACGTTGTTGTCCTGGTCGCCGACGATGAGCAGACACGAGTGTCGGGGGCCCACCGGACTGCCCTCCTGCACGGCGCTCGCGTTACACAGACGGACCACGACCTCCAGCGTGCAGCTCTCCTGCTGCACCTGCAACGGCACACCATACTCACCGTAATCGTCACTATAAAGTTTTCACGTATATAAAAATGTTATTTTTTAGACAGTCCTAATCTTGACTCGTTATTTAAACGAAAGTATATCATTGAAAAACATCAATAAATAATGATATATGTAATTATATAAAGGAAACCATTATCTGAACATTACCCATCCCTGCTGCTGAAGCGTGAGCTCATAGCGCGGCAGGTGCGATGCCATTTCCTGCAGCTTGTTTCCGAACGGCGGCTGGCGGCTGCACACCTAACAAACAAATTATATTTTTAATTTTATGCGCGATGTGTCTACCGAGAAATTTTTCAGAAGTACTTTTATAAAGTCTCCACGTATGTTGCAATATTTCTCCAGGAACATTTTTAAAAACTCAATGCACAACAAGGAGTTAAACCACAATAGATTTGAACCCCCAAGTTCATTGATGAATCTACGATCACATAAAAAAGTAGTCGGTACTCTGTCTCTCCGTGAAACTGATCTTTTTTTAACCCAGGTCATACTTTGAGCTGAATTACATTGATTTAAAAGTAAACATTTTACTGTGACTAAACCATGCTTACCAACGGAATTTCGGATAAAAAATAATATAACTCAGTACTCACTGCAGTGAGTGACAGAGAGCGCATTTTCTCGTCGACGAAAACGTGAAGTCACGGACGGACAGACAGACGGACATGGCGAGCACAATAGTGCATTTTTTCCATAAATGAGAAAATGCGCTAAAAACATATATCAACATAAATTTGTTTTGAATGAACCACCTAAACGTGAGATTTTGTTTGACCAACAGGATGACCTCGTGCCGACCCAAACTCCCCACCTGGACGTGAACCAACCATTTCGATGTCCCTAGGATTGGCGCTCTCCAGCGCCGTGAAGCTCACGACGCGGGCGTTAACCAGCGCCGTGGCGAGCGCCGGCCCCACGCGCTCGAGCTGCCGCGTCACGAGGCGCGAGTTTTCCCACAACCGACAAGCAAAACATTTGCTCAGCAGCATGGCGTTCAGCTGAGCCTCGTAGTTATTAGTTGATCCTCGCGACCCTAGCACCTCGCATAGACCTGTACAACGGTTACGCAGGTTTTACCAGACACGTTGATATTAATGAATATTAAATGGTCAATCTGCTATTTATTATTGAAACTTGTCGCTTAGACCTGGGATGGGCTAGCTCATTAAACATTACTTGTGATGGATATGTAACAAAAAGCTCCATCTTCTATGTTTTTCTTAACGTACCCACCAATCCTAATCGCGCAAGCCCTTTAGTCTGTAATTAATCGACACTACACATGATGGCAATTTTGTTTAACCGTCGGACTTGATTTGAGTCTATAATGTTAGAAATTTAAAATAAAAATTTATAATTTACTTTGAATTTGTGTAATAAAAAAACGTGAGAAAATATTCAAGATAAAAATAAATAATCCGAGAACATTCGGCATCCTCGTTGAATGATGGCTGCGGAAAATAAGAAGACGCACTAACACTAGGAAGAACAGAATTTAAAACTAAACATAATTTAACCGTAGAGGTGAAGATCACGATAAGAATATATGAGCATTTAGTGTGCGGTGCAAATGTGCTTACACTTGGAGAGTCGCAGCCCCACACGCATGATCTTGTTGGTCTCCTGGCTTAGCCCAGGGTCTGAGAGGGGCAGGCAGCCGAACACGGCCTGTACCAGACTGAACAAATAGACTCATCTCAATTAACAGAGCTGTTACTCTTGAGCACCACAACGAATAGTGCTTCTCTTCAGTACTGCTGTCAGTCGCAAAGTTATTTGTTACTTTGATTGCATGTGCTAATCGCGCTAGAGTCTCATTTTGAATAGATAAGTCATCATTACATTAAAAACATTGTGGGGAGGGTAGCGCACGCGTGAACACATTTTAATGCCAGAAATACAATGATGGCCACTATTCGACCTTCATCCTTAGTCAACGGGTATATAAACTATCGTCACTATCTGTTTTTAAAATCTTGGTACCTAGAATTAAAGTCAGTACAAATGGGTTATGGCTTACTTTAACCCATAGATAAAATTGTTCATGCTCCCATGTCTATTAATTTTAACGGTGGAGTCAATAAAGCTGTTATATTTTGGCCTACCAGAAAACTTTGTTGACGCGGTTCTTAATCTTGCCCTGCACAGGGAAGCGAATGCTAGAGCCTGGCTCGTTGTTCGTCTTTTTCTGGTTCAGTTCATTGAGAGGACGTTTTTCCGATGTTCTAAGCTGCAACAAAATGGTGAAGGATATAAATTAAAATTTTAGGAAACGAATAAGAATTTACTATACGGTTTTGAAATTTGCGTGCAAATCGCTCAACAGTTATTATAGATATTTCATAAAAGATTCAAAAATTATTAAAATTTATGATGGTTTAGCTATATTTTGCCAACGATACATATAATTGTTAAGCTTATTGCTGCCTTTGATGAATTATTTGGCCTAATTAGCGGGGCTATTTTATTACAACACTTCTCTTTTACTTCACTTCTTGTTTGTCTGTCTGTCTGCTACAAATCTTGTAATCGAAATTTAACACACTTCTACTTATCCTATCGATCTGAAATTTTGCACACTTGCGTAAAGTTGGAGACAATGCATGAATGAATTGACAAAATAACTAATTTTAAGAAGAAAAATTTCTTTTCAATATTAAATTAACTTAAATTAATAATTAAACCTGAAAAAATAATTTTGTCAGCTACAAATCTTATAATTGATATTTGACACACTTTTACCTGTCCAATTGATATGAAATTTTGCACACTTGTGTGAAGTTGGAGGCAATGCATAAATCAATTGACGGAATAAATAATTTTGAAAAAATTGTATACATATATTAAAAAAATTGAAAATTAATTTTTTTAATATTCGAAAATAAAATTAGAAATTCATTGTACATCTGTAACATTGGAAACACTGGATTCTTTAGAAGTGTTGTCTTTAAAAAGTAATTTTTAAACGCATATTATTTACCTTGATGTCGGCGAATTCGTGGCACTCGGCGATGAGGGAGAGGAGCTCCTTGAGGCTTTCATCCCCGCGAACCTATTACCAATTTTGATTATATTTCAACATTCATTTGCACTCAATAATAGTTGAGCACACCACGATGCAAGAATTGTTCACTGATAATGGCATTAATTCAATTATATTGGGTGAAATATTCTCAATTGTGAAGATGTTCATAAGAATATGGTCATTAGGTACACGTTTCAACTTTGGTTTAGACTCCACCATGCATTAAAACTTGAATGTTATTGGCATGAAAAAATAACACTGTCTGCACAGTTATATTTTGCTTTCAACTTTCGAGAATTTTTGTGAGAATTAGAAATTTTAAGGCACAAGTCTTTTTGAACTTGAATCATACATTTGATGATATATTTCAATGAACTAATAACCAGCAGCTCGTTCAAAATAAATTTCTCATCGTGCATTTGCAAGCTAAACGATGTGATAATCGAGTTTGTGATAATATGCCTCAATGATTACCGTATATGAAAAGTCAAACCGATGGTGCGCGAGCTCCTTCTCTTTCATATATTATTATTTCCCGGTCAGTCATGAAGTTACCCTAACAAAATTTAGAGTCGCCCCAGCTTCTGGTAATCCAAATTAGTAGCTGACGCGTCTGTAAATTTTCATTGGGTAGGTGACCTTAAGCATGAGGTTCATGGAGCGGAAGGAGACGCAGTAGCGGGCCATGAGTTCACCGAGGCGAGTGGCTGTCAAGGCTCCCTGGTCGTCCACCACCACCAGGCCCGCCTTGTCTAGCAGGGACACCTCGCGACTGCACAGCTCTGTTGTGATCAGCCCAGCACCGTCAGACTCGAGCAAAAAATCGTGAAATAGCGGAACATTTCAAATCACGCCAGCAAATTAGAGAAAAATTCAATCATTGGCATTTTATTTTAATTTTAGTATCTAACCGGCAATTCCATTTCGAACTCAACACAAGTGACGAGCATGAGAAACGTACAGATGTTAAACAATAATTCTGAAGATAATAGTGTTTATTCGAGTGATTTAAACAGTGTGGAGTAAACATAATGATTGACCGGAAAACTTGGAGAGGAGGCTGGTCAGTTCCCTAGGGAAGCCGTAGTGTTGGGGGTTTTGCTGCGCGCGCACGAACAGGAACGTCGACTGCAGCCACGTGACGGCCACGTGGACGCTGTACACCGTGCCCAGCACGATCTGGAGGACACCACGACAAATTATTATCTAATAAAATATATGGTGATATCTATGATGATTTTAATGAAAATAAAGATAAACTTATATTAGATGAACGTCACCTCAGTATTTAAGCCTTATGATTTGCGAGCAAAATAATAAATTTGTGAAATACGTGTTCTGAAGTTGAGCTTAACTGCTACCATGATCTAATCACTATAATTTTCCAAGAACAACGAAGGTTATTTGAGCTATGATTGTGGTACAAGATAATGGTTATCAGGTTATCTTTAATTCAATAATGATTGGATGGCCCCGTGCGAAGGGAACTTTGACTCTTTAAATTAAAGAGTGAACAAACGATCAAACATTAGCATATATTAGGAATTTGCCTCAAACATTTTACAGTTACCTCAGCGTTGAGATGTTCGATTAGGTTAAGATGGAGGTGACTCTCTAGCGATCCGCTGCCCGTCACCAGCTGCTCGTACTTGCGCTGGGCAAAAAGATGGAGCAAAAGTTGAAGCAACGACAATAACTCGTTGGCATTGAAACAGAAATAATAGCTATTTTAGAGCATCTGGCGATGCGATCGAGGCATAGTTCGGTCCATGAAATAAATTCTGCGCCACATTAATTTAGGACCGTCGTGGTTTATGCTCTATCATTTCTTTCATGTAAGTACAAGTTTCCTACCAAAACTCACTTTTGTTATTAGGCAAATTCTACATTACATTATCGCATCATACTGATAAGGATGCTGAGTTGGAATCTTCAAGAAAACCTCATTACAGGACTTTAGAGAGTCAGTTCACATTGCAGTCATTTTGTCGTTTGATTACTGAGGCTTTATTGAAGATGAGGTTAGTTTTTGCTCCGGGCAAGTTTGCGTATATTGCATTAGACAAAATAAAGCACTTGTATTTCAATTTTAGTTTCTGTAATTTTAGTTTTTTGCACCGAGTTGTCGAATGAAATGAATGGAGTAAATAAAACGAAAGCTGCTTGCCGGCCATGCACGGTAAGATCAAATTCAGCCTATCTGTTCGCTTAGTCATTTTTGTTATAACACCTAGTTATCGACGACCTTGACTTTTATGTAAATATACTTATTGATAATTGCTCAATATAATGGGTAATTTAATCATAACACAACTAGCACCAAGGGTTAAGGGGAGCGCTGAAAAGGCGCGTTTTGTAGCTGCTGAAAAGGAGCGTCTAACGCAGCAAACCGCATGTATGTGCGTGCTCTAGTTTTTGCGTAAAGCAATTTCAAAAATATTTAAATGAAAATTTTTTAATAATAAAAACAGAAATTTCTTTAAATTAAATCTGTATATATAGATCACTATTCTCGTTAATTGCAAAGTGTTTGCACTCGTTTGAAAGCTACAAACAAGAAGCGTTGAACAAAGCTAATACCATGGATTTAGACGCAATAATTTTTGCAATGTGGCAATGTGATAGCATGGGCTGCAATATCAAGCAATTTTTTAGGCATATTCTTATTTCTTTTCAACAAATTTTACTTATTTGGCTCCCTTGAACAATTAAAAATTTCAAATTGCGCTATCTAAACAACCTATCTCCTCCTATAATTTTCAAGCTACATCATTGAGAGACATACAATTCGATGCGAAAAAAAAAATCTCTAGCGATCCAAGGATCACTTTTTTTTATTTCGTTTTAGTTTGGAATATATATTAAAAAACGGGAGAGGGAAAGGAAAAAATTACAAAATCAGAAAAATCATAAAAATTAAATAAAAGTGATCGGTCAATCGCTAGATAACGAATCGAATGATATGTTTATCGATGTTGTAGCACGTTAATTGAATGAGGAGATTTTTACGGTACCCCCCCCCCCTTTTTTTTGCCATTTCCTACGAATTTCACGTTTCCTTTCATTTTTTCGAAATATTTACACAAAAAAGTTATTGATTTCGGTTTTACATATGTGTACGAACTTTCAAAATGATCCGTCCGTAAATAAAAGTTTTTTTTGTTTACCCAAACGCTCACCCTTGAGCGCACACATGCATGGTCTCGGAAAAAAATATCGCTGTTCGTGTTCACACGTCACAAAATAAATGGTATTATTTTGCTTATTGCGGACAGGAGCTTTTTCCGTTTTGCTTTTTATTTGCGGATGCGTTGCGGATGAAGATTGCGTCGTAGGAGAGGAGGGCTATTTGTTCCAGCTAATCACTAATTTAATGGTCATCAACCATCCTTTTGATGCTTTTGAAGCATGACAGTCTTGGCAGGATCCTCCCCATCACATGACTAATTGTAAATGTGACTTCTGTACAGGACCTTTCCAAGATGTGTACAAAATCCCCCAGACAGGAGGCTCCCCTGTTGAGTTTTGACCCTGATGGTAGCAGTCAAGTAGATTAGAAGATTAGCATCAGCAGGTCTTGAACAAAATACTTATTTCCCCTGTACCCAATAAAGATGATGCTCCAGGCTGCGCCATCCCAGGCTGGACCATCTGGCCGTGGCTCTCTGTCTGGGTAGACCCTCCAGTTAGGTAAGGGTTACTAACATGCGTATAGCACTAATTCCGGGACCTAGTAGTTGAATGAACTAACAGAACAACATCTCAGATTTGCAAACTTACCGAGGCCTTTGCCCTCAGGTTTGTGCGGCCAAACCCTTGCTGCCTGTCCAGACGTGAGGCGAGTGGTGAAGAACCAAGTCCTCAGAAAGCAGATAGAAGAAGAAGAAGAGACGAGGGCTACTTTTTCAGGCAATTTTTTTGTGCAGTTTGCAAAATGGTGTTTCTAATGTGAAGCCGTTGTAAATTACATTGCAGGCGCATACAATTAAGTATCTCAAGGTTTTCATATTTCTTGAAGGAAAGTTGTGAATTTAATGAATAAATACCGTCAAAAACTTCATCGATACACGGAAGGAAAGGTAACTGTTGTGAAATGTTGCTTAGTAGAATTCAATGTTTTATTTATGGTCAACATTTCTGCTGAGGTGAAGCTACTAGAAACAATTCTTCCATGATAAACTATTTCATTACACCAGTGGTTCCCAAAGTGGGCGATAGCGCCCCCCTAGGGGCGTTGGAAAGATTTTGGGGGGCGGTAAGGAAGAAGAGGGCGGTAGGGGGGGGCGGCAGTCCGAAGTCGAAGTCCAAAGTTCGAACGTTTGTTTCAAAGTTCAAAAATTTTGTTTCAAAGTTCAACACGTGCAGCACATGACTCCAAGCGATGGTTTTTTTCACTCAGATCTGTTTTTTTAACCTGTCCTGGGCTTACGTCTCGGACAAATTAACGGCCGGACTCGCGGCAGGTCTCACGACCAATTTTCAAATTCAATGATCAAGGAATATCTCTCAAACTAATTACGTAACTTGGCTTGATGAAACTTGGTACACGTATTCATTAGGACCAAACGGTAATGTTAGGCTCGTGAAATTTTTTTTGAATTTTGCCTTCATTTGTTTTTGCTATAGTTATATGGCAATACGGGCTGAAATTCACAGTGATCAAGGAATTTCTTCCAAACTACTGAACAGATTTGAACGAAATTTTGAATTTATAGTCCTAACTACCGAACGGTGATGCTTAGCTCGTGAAAATTTTTTCGATTGTGCCTTTGTTCGCGAGTTTTTTTTTTTCATTTCACCTTCATTCGTGATTCAAACATCAATACGCGCTTAAATTCGCAGTACGTAATCAAGAAATTTCTTCCAAACTTCGAACAGATTTGAACGAAACTTAGTATTTAAATAACTAACCTCAGCAACAATGATGTTACGCTCGTTAAAATTTTTTCGATTTTGCCTTCGTTTGCGAGTTATCCGGCTATACGTAAACGGCTCTTGGTTAAACCGGACGGTAGAAAAGCTGGTCGTTTCTCCTATATCTGTAAAACTCGCGAACGAAAGAAAAATAAAAAAATTGTCACGAGCTAAACATCACCGTTGGGAGGTTAGGTATATATATACAAAGTTTCGTTGAAATCTGTTCAATAGTTTAGAAGAAATTTCTTGATCGCCGCGAATTTAAAGACAAATTACCCGGCGGTAAAGGCAGAATATGAGGATGTGTGAAATCAAGCATGACGGTGAAATGAAAAAAACTTACGAACGAAGGTAAAATCGAAGAAATTTTTATAAGCTAAAAAATCACCGTTTGGTAGTTAGGTATGAATATTCAAAATTTCGTTCAAATTTGTTCAGTAGTTTGGAAGGAATTCTTTGATCACTGCGAATTTCGGCCTGTATCGCAATATAACTCATGAATGAAGGTGAAATGTAAAAAAAATTTCACGAGCTAAGCATCACCGTTAGGTTCTGATGAATACATGTTCCAAGTTTCATTGAGCTGCGTTCATTAGTTTGGGAGATAATACTTGATAATTGAATTTATAGTTTGGTCGTGAGACCGGCCACGAGTCCGGCCGTAAATTCGCCCGATACGTCCTATAGGTTTCGAGTGCTGAAACAGTTAAAACAGCTGAAAAACATATTGGTTCACTAAATGGTGTTCTATTTGTGAAATACACATTTGTGCTTAACCTTTATTTTTTTAAAATTGCAGCGTACTAAAATTCAAGAAAGAGGCGTATGTTTTTATATGTGTCTGTGGGGGGGCGCTAGAAATTCACTAGGGTGCCAAAGGGGGCGCCAGCCTGAAAAAGTTTGGGAACCACTGCATTACACCATTCTACCTCGCCCTAATGGCACTATAATTGCGGCTTGAACTCAAGCCTAACGACAACATGACGACCATAGTTTCGCTAGTAAAAACCGACTTAAACCGGCTAGTAAACCGGCTTAAAAACATGTGAGGCGTAAGAATGGCCTGGCCCATCATACAGCCACAAAATTTTTCAGTTAGGGTAATTTCAGTGCAGGCGTTTTGAGCTATCAAAGTGCGATGATAATCACAACGGCTGAATGATATAAAAATGACGTCCGGTGGCAAACCAAACGACTACGTCACTTATCAAGCGGAAATATGACAAGATATGAGAAATTTTCACTAGGCTGGCGACAGCCCATTTTGTCCTCATTACGCCAGCCGCCAAGAAACAGGAGTACGCGCTTAATTCTGCTAAAAGAATGGTCTGATTTGCCCGACAGTATGCTTTTGAACTCTTGATGAACGCTGATGATACAGTATTTGGAAATACAGCTCAGCTTGAGGAAATCCCGAAAAATTCATTCTGGAAAATATGAAGTAAAATTGAAAGTTTAAAACCTAATCTGAACTGATTTATAGCTGATATATACTGTAACCGTCCAAAGGTTGAGCCTTCAAGTGACTTGTCATAAGTTCAAGTGGATTCTCATCAGACAATAATGCATGCACGAGGTGATCGTTGCAGGGCAAACACATACCACGAACTTCGCCAGATTTTGATAGCGTCGCTCTGTCTTCTATTGCATCTGCAGTAATGGAGTCGTGTGTCACCGTTTTGAACGTGAGTGAATTTGTTCCTAACTCGCTTTTGTCAACCTTAACTTATCTCCACA